GAGCCACCTAGGAAGCCTCTCTCTCTCTCTCTCTCTCTCTCTCTATATATATATATATATTAAATATTTTAATTTTTTAAATTTTAATAAATTTAATTAATTTAATTTTAATTAATTTTAATGAAATTTAAATTTTTTAATTTAAAAATATATTTTATTTTTTATTTTTATTTCTATATTTATATTATATACATATATATATATATATATATATATATAAATCATGCACATATATATGCTGGTGCTGGAGAAGACTCTTGAGAGCCTCTTGGACTGTGAGGAGATCAAACCAGTCAATCCTAAAGGAAATCAACCTTGAACGTTCATTGGAAGGACTGATGCTAAAGCTGAAGCTCCAATACTTTGGCCACCTGATGCAAAGAGCCAATTCTCTGACAAAGAGCTGACCCCTTGGAAAAGACCCTGATGCTGGGAAACATTGAGGGCTGGAAAAGAAGGGATGACAGAGCATGAGATAGTTGAATGGCATCACAGACTCAATGGACATGAGTTTGAGCAAACTCCGGGAGATAGTGAAAAACAGAGAATCCTGGCATGCTACAGTCTGCAGGGTCACAAAAGTCAGACACAACTTAGGGACCAAACAGCAACAATAAAGTTAAGAATATAATAACTGTGAATTTTTATATAAATAATATAGCAAAAAAATAGATGGTAAACTTTATGTTTTGCAGGAAGATATAAAAAAAATAGAGAATCAGAGAAGATAAGCCAGAATATTAGAAAGTTGTGGAAAGAGAAACTAGAAAATGAATACTCTAAGATTCCTATTTCCCCAAATGCTTTATTTTGTTTTGAAATTTCATGGGCAGTGAACAACTGCATTTTAACAAGAAACCAAACTTGTTCTGACAGTACTCCAACATTTGACCAACAAATAGCTGATAAATACATCTAAAACGAGTATTTTGGTAATGATGAGTTCCTATTATGGCCTCTCTTCAGATTTCCGAATGCCAAAATCAGTATTCCTCTGACAAACAGTGTTCTCTTCATCCTAAAAAACAGAAATTATCTTTACTACTTCACTGATTTTTAAGTATATAGTTTGTTTATTTTACTGTATAGTGCAGGGAATTCTGCTCAGTGTTATGTGGCAATCTGGATGGGAGGGGAGTTTGGGAGAGAATGGATACATGTATATGCATAGCTGAGTCCCTTTGCTGTCCAATGCTGTTAATCAGCTATATTTCAATATAAAGAAAAAGTTTTAAATATATATTTATTTATTTGACTGCACCAGGTATTAGTTGTGGCATGTGGAGTCTTTAGTTGCATCTTGGGAATCCTTAGTTGCTGTATGTGGAATTCAGCTTCCTGACCAGAAATTGAACCTAGCACCCTGCATTTGGAGTGCAAGTCTTAGTCACTGGACCATCAGGGAAATCCAACTCTTTATTCTATACCTTCAGAAATGCAAAGGTAAACAGTGTTGTGAAGGAGTTCTGAATGAAAAGACGACTTCAGAGGGGAAATTATAAAAACAGCACAAAATAACTTTATCCTTTATATGATAAACAGTTAAAATTATTTTCTGTTTTCATTACTTCCCCTCTGAAGTCATCTTTTGACTCAGAACTTTACAGCAATTTTTACCACCATATTTCTGAGGATGTGGGATAAAGAATATAAGCTAAGAGTTAGCATAGTATAAAATATAGACATTGATAGAAAAGGTCATAATCTGAGGCAGATACACAAATATGCAAGGCATGAAGAATAAAATAACCAGAGAGATGCGAGAGATTCAGATGAAGAGGGCGTTGCACCTACCATTCAAGCTGTGAGATTTCGAAGTGTATAGGATCACAACATGGAGTCCATCAAAAGGCATTACGTTTAACAGGCAGATAAACTCTTAGTTGGCAGCAATAAAATGTATAAGTATTCCTGTAAACGACTTTCGACAAAGTCATGCTACACATGAACTCTATGTCACTGGGGCCAAAAAAAAGCAGCCAGACTGTAAAGAGGATCCGCAGTGTTACATGAATAAATCTTCTAACGCGGGTGACTCCCATATATGGCCACCCCTATATAAACATGATAGTGAGGTAGTACAGATGGACGCATAGTAGTCATAGGCCAGACCCATCAGTAGAATGATTTCAGCCACATCAATTGATGGTCAGCAAAGTTTTAAGTCATGAACTTCCTAAAAGAGATGGTTTTTCTTACAACAATAATGAAAGTTAACACTTAAGAGGTCAGGGAGTAAGAACAGCAGCTATCTATAAGGGATTTAAAAACATAAAATATGTAAAACACTAACAAAGAGGATAAAAAATACGATGAAAACACCTATCCTCTTCATGGACAGGAGTTCTCAAATCTCTAAAGATATAAACTTTTCCTAAACTATTCTATGTAAGTCAAAAATTGAAACATAATTTTTGTGACTGGGCCTTTATTATAAATTTAATTTGACAACACATATATGCAAGAACAGACATAATTCTGAAAAAGAAGAGTAATGAAGAAGCTCTGGGCTTATTGGATTTCAAAATGCTCTATAGATGAATTGCAATTATACCATGCATTAAATAGTACATAACTAAAGAAATCAGTGGAACAAAACAAAGTCCAGAATTGCATCCACACAGATGTGGAATGTTAGAATACAGTAAAGTTAAGATTTCAAATCAGTGGTGAAAGATAATTATGCATCTACCAAAAAAAAAATCATTTAGAAAACAAATACAATTCTTATTTAACTCCTTATATATCAAAATAAATACCTGATGGAAAAAAACATTTCATACAAAATATAAAACCACAAAAGTGCTAAAATATCAATGTCTAAAAATATGAAATAGTATTATGTTTAGGGAGAAATGAGCAAAACTTTTAATGATGAAACAAAAAACACATAAAATATTCATAAATCTGACCAAGTAAATAACCAAAAAATATCTACATAGCCAAGAAAGAATTCTGTATAGCAAAAGAAATCCAAAATCAAATAACAGGCCAGAAAATTAAGTACATAGATAATGGTTTTTTGAAAAGATTATTTCCTTAGTATATAATTGCTTATAGAAGTAAGTATGAAAAAGAAAATAATCAAATATATTAATAAACAATTCAAAGATATAAAACTAAAACATGTGAAAAGATGCCTAAAGCAATTATATATAAAGAATTTCAATTAAAGTACACAAATAATTAAAAATGCTTTAATGAACCATATTGTCATATCCCCCAAACTGATCACTGGTTGTTAAGAAGGTAAACAGGAGATATTCTCAGACTGTGGGCAGAAATGTAAGTATAAACTCATGAATCATTTTGAAAATAACTATGAATATCAACGTTTAAAACACATATTCCCTGTGATTCCCAAAATCTCTACTTCTGGAAACTAACATTTCTAAGAATACATAATCAATAAATAAGTTACATATTTATTGCAGAATTACACATCATAGGAAAAGATCTGAAATGAAAAGAAAAGTACTGGATACACCAATTCAGGAATGTTATAAGGGAAAATCACATATTATAAGAATAACTGAGGATGAGTTAGATCTATATAGACTGTTATGGAAAGATCCTCACTGTGTTTAATAATAAAATGTAAATATTTACTTCAGACATTTGTACACAAAATCATAGATAAATATGCTTGTATTTGTAAAAATTAAAACTTGAATAATCTTAAGAAACAGACTTGTGACTACTCTGGGGAAGAACACTAGGAAACACTGAAAAGGATGGATTGGAGGTTTGGTTTGGTTTTACAGGTCATTTTACTAAGCTTTCAAGGAACAAATCATTCCAACTATATATGAACACTTCCTATGAATATCAATTCAGTTTGTAACTTGCCTTTTTGCTTTCTTCCAGGTGTTTTTATTGAACAGAATCTCTTCATACATTCAAATTTATCATTCTCTCCTTCTTGCCTTGTTTTGAACTATTTTGAAAGAAGATATTTTTCACTTGCACCATTTCATGTGGTTTCAAATTTTATCAATTATTACTATGCTTTCCTTTTACATTAAAAAGTGTCACAGAACATTTCACATGTAATGCAACTGAAATTGAATACAGAGAACAATGTATATAATTAAACATTTTCACTAATAAAATGACAAGAAAAGGACAAAATGACTAAATGCGACTAAAAAATAAAACTAAGTCTCAGAAAATAACTTTAAAGATAAATGAATAAACTGATTAAAATCATTGAAATTGTAAACATTTCATGTATTATATACTTTTATCAACTTACTCCTTATGCATATTACACCTTACTAGGGAAAGTGGTAACCAAAATGCAATATACAGAGCTGACATTTTACCAGAGGAGCATATTAGTAACCCAATTATACAGTTAATTGTTATACTTATAAAAATGTTTTAAATGAATGGGGTAGGTGAATCCATTTTAAGAGACTTTTGGTTTCTAAGGCGATGGACACTAAAGTTATGTGAACCTCTTCATGGTGAATGTCAAACTTATTTGCTTCAAGATATGATGTTTCTTCTCCAGAGTTTCTTCATAGCATTTGTCATCTCTGAGTTTCTCAGTGTAGATTAATGGGTTCAGCATGGAGGTTATGACTGTGTAAAACACACTCAATGATTTGTCAATGGGGAATGTCTTAGCAGGTCTTGCATACATAAAAATACAGGGAACAAAGAAGCAGACAACCACAGAGGTGTGGGAACCACAGGTCTGGAGGGCTTTCTGCCTCCCTTCCTGACTCAGGTTCTTTAATGAGTGCAGGATGACTCCATAGGAGACGAGTAAGAGCAGGAATACAATAGTGCAGATCAGTCCTCCATTGGTCACAACTTAAATGCCAATGACATAAGTGTCAGTATAGACAAGTTTCAGTAAAGGGTACATGTCACAGAGAAAGTGTTCAATGACATTGGGGCCACAGAATGGGAGCCCATAAACAGTGCTAAGTTGAATAATTGAGTGCAGAAAACCTCCAACCCAGGACACCAGCAGCAGTGCCAACACACACCCTCTGCCTCATGATCACCAAATAATGCAAGGGCTTACAGATGGCCACATAGCGGTCACAGGCCATCACCAACAGAAGAAAGACTTCAGATCCACCGAAAAGGTGCTTTATACAGAACCGAGCCATACAAAATTTGAAATATATGGTATTTTCCACAAAGAACAGATCGGAAATCAATTTTGGGGTAATGGCTGAAGAATAAATGACATCCATGAATGATAAGCTAGCAAGAAAAAAGTACATGGGTGAGTTTAGAGTCTTACTGACAGGACGGTCACAACAATGAGCAGGTCAAATGGTCAAAATGTAGAAGAGCAAGAACATAATAGAAAAAACTTTCTGCTCCTTTGGCTTCTGTGTAAGGATCAAAAGGACAAAGTAAGTCACATTGTTCCTTGATCCCATCTATTCTTTTATAGGTACTGATTTCACATATTAGAGATAGTTTACCTATAAAACAAGGAAAAATATTTTAAACTATTATAAGCTAAATATGGCTTCCCATGTGACTCAGTGCTAAAGAATCTGCCAGCCAATGCAGAGATGCAGGTTAAATTCCTCGGTCAGGAAGATCCCTGGAGAAGGAAACAGTAACCCACTCCAATATTCTTACCTGGGAAATCCCATGCAGAGAAGCCTGGTGAGCTACAGAGCATGGGATCACAAAAGAGTTGGACATAACTTAGTGACTAAACAACAAGAACAAAGCTTGATATTGTTTTTGATCATTCAGTCAAAAGTGTTTATGGACCTACTCTATAGCACAGAGAACTCTGCTCCATATTATGTAACAACCTAAATGGGAAAACAATTTGAAAAATAATAAATGCATGTATAAATATAAGTAAAGCATATTGCTGTACACTTGAAACTAATACAACATTGTTAATTAACTACACTCCAAAATAAAATAAAAGGTTTTTTAAAGATGCCTATGGAGCAGCTCTTTGTATCAAGCATCCTATAACAGAAATTAGGATTACCATGTTGAATACGATTGTTTCCATACTCTCAATGATTTAATACATGATGATTGGATTATATAATTTATAACCTACTTAATTATAAATATATTCATGTTGTGCTAAGGAACACCTAAATCAAACTGATAGCAGGGAATTCTTCCCAGAGGAAGCAATGCTTTACGATTTTAAAGAAGTGGGAAAACAGAAGAGGATAGCAGGGAATAAAATGAAAAGATGCAATATGTTTAAACTCACAAAACCATAATACTGAAGATCCATTTAAGATAATCTACATATTCAGTCAGTAGAACAAATTTTAATATAAAGACCAAAGGTTACTGTATTAGCTGTTCAGTTCAGTTCACTTCAGTTCAGTCGCTCAGTCGTGTCCGACTCTTTGCGACCCCATGAATCGCAGCACGTCAGGCCTCCCTGTCCATCACCACCTCCCAGAGTTTATTCAAACTCATGTCCATTGAGTCAGTGATGCCATCCAGCCATCTCATCCTCTGTCGTCCCCTTCTCCTCCTGCCCCCAATCTCTCCCAGCATCAGGGTCTTTTCCAATGAATCAACTCTTCGCATGAGGTAGCCAAAGTATTGGTGTTTCAGCTTCACATCAGTCCTTCCAATGAACACCCAGGACTGATCTCCTTTAGGATGGACTGGTTGGATCTCCTTGCAGTCCAAGGGACTCTCAAGAGTTTTCTCCAACACCACAGTTCAAAAGCATCAGTTCTTCGGCGTTCAGCTTTCTTCACAGTCCAACTCTCACATCCATACATGACCATGGAAAACCCATAGCCTTAGCTAGACGGACCTTTGGTGACAAAGTAATGTCTCTGCTTTTTAATGTGCTATCTAGGTTGGTCAAAACTTTCCTTCCAAGGAGTAAGTGTCTTTTAATTTCATGGCAGCAGTCACCATCTGCAGTGATTTTGGAGCCCAGAAAAATTAAGTATGACACTGTTTCCACTGTTTCCCCATCTATTTGCCATGAAGTGATGGGACCAGATGCCATGGACTTAGTTTTCATTAATGTTGAGCTTTAAGCCAACTTTTTCACTCTTCTTTTTCATTTTCATCAAGAGGCTCTTTAGTTCCTCTTCACTTTCTGCCATAAGGGTAGTGTCATCTGCATATCTGAGGTTATTGATATTTCTCTTGGCAATCTTGATTCCAGCTTGTGCTTCATCCAGCCCAGTGTTTCTCATGATGTACTCTGCATATAAGTTAAATAAGCAGGGTGACAATATACATCCCTGAAGTACTCCTTTTCCTATTTGGAACCAGTCTGTTGTTCTATGTCCAGTTCTAACTGTTGCTTCCTGACCTGCATACAGGTTTCTCAGCATGCAGGTCAGGTGGTGTGGTATTTCCATCTCTTTCAGAATTTTCCACAGTTTATTGTGATCCACACAGTCAAAGGCTTTGGCATAGTCTATAAAGCAGAAATAGATGTTTTCCTGGAACTCTCTTGCTTTTTCAATGTTAGATCTGCTTATTCAGAACAATAATTGCCTTCCTTCCAGCTTCCAATAAGATGGCATTCATTTCATTTGGGAGAAAGCAATGCCAACCCACTCCAGTACTCTTGTCTGGAAAATCCCATGGACAGAGAAGCCTGGCGGGCTACAGTCCATGGGGTCTTGAGGCATCAGACACGACTGAGCAGCTTCACTTTCACTTTTCACTTTCATGCATTGGAGAAGGAAATGGCAACCCACACCAGCATTCTTGCCTGGAGAACCCCAGGGACAGAGGAGCCTGGTGGGCTGGCATCCATGGGGTTGCACAGAGTCAGACACGACTGATGTGACCTAGCAGCAGCAGCAGCATTTCATTTGAGACTTCAAACTTACATCATATTTCTAGTAATGTTAAATAATTTCTGGTTTCTCTCAGATTGTAGATGCTTTCTCTACAGCCCTCTTTGTTCTCTTCTGGGAACACTGAGATCACTTTTTATTGTTCATATTTCTACCGATTGTCTCTTAAAGGCAATTTAGGATTTTTCTATCAGGCAGCCCAAAACTCTTTCAGCATCTACCCACTACCCAATCCCAAAGCCACTTGCACATTGTTTGGTATTTAGTATAATACTTCTTTGTATCAATGTATTTATCAGTTTGCTAAAGCTTTTATAACAAAGTAACAAAAATTGGGTGGAATTAAAAAATGGAACCTTATCATTACACCATTCTGGATGCTAGAATTCTAAATCAAGTGTCAACAGTATTGGCTACTTCTAAAGACTGTGAGAAAAGGACTGTTCCCTGCTTTTTTCCTTGGCTTAAAGATGACCAGATTTAAGTTCACATGGTGTTCTCCATGTAAGCCTATCTGTATCTGAATTTCCCTTTTAATAAGAAAACTAGTCTTGTTGCATTAAGGTTTGCCCTAGTGACCTTATTTTAAGTAAATTGCCTCTGTAAAGAACCTATTTCCAGATAAATTCACATTCTCTAGCTTTAAAGATTAGGATGACAACATACACATTTTAAGAGGACACAAAGGATCCATAGTTGTGTCCACAGACATATTATGTAAGTCACAACAATCACTGCCCCAGATAATGCCTCCCCAAGCTCATGTCTTACAACTCTCCATGTTCACTCTGCCCAAGACCTTATCAGTTCAGATCAGTTCAGTCACTCAGTTGTGTCCAACTCTTTGCAACCCCATGGACTGCAGCACACCAGGCCTCCCTGTCCATCACCAACTCCCGGAGTCTACCCAAACTCATTGAGTCGATGATGCCATCCAACCATCTCATCTTCTGTCTCCTTCTCTGTCTGCCCACAATCCTTCACAGCATCAGGGTCTTTTCTAATGAGTCAGCTCTTCACATCAGGTGGCCAAAGTATTGTAGTTTCAGCTTCAACATCAGTCCTTGCAATGAACACTCAGGGCTTATCTCCTTTAGGATGAACTTGTTGGATCTCCTTGCAGTCCAAGGGACCCTCAAGGGTCTTCTCCAACACCACAGTTCAAAAGCATCAATTCTTCGGCCCTCAGCTTTTTTTTTACAGTCGAACTCTCACATCCATACATGACCACTGGAAAAACCATAGCCTTAACGAGACCGACCTTTGTTGACAAAGTAATGTCTCTGCTTTTTAATATGCTGTCTAGGTTGGTCATAACTTTACTTTCAAGGAGTAAGCATCTTTTAATTTCAGGATAGCCCTCAAATAGGCAAAGTGCTTTTGCATCTCTATAGTTCCATTTATTCTTTTGTAGAATGTAATTTCAGAGATTGGAAACATTTTACCTCTAAAATGATGGGACATACTGTAGAACAATATATTGTAAGTTTAATCTTATTTATACAATTTACAAATATTTACCAGGTACTTAACATTGTGTCACATTTTTCAGATAATGTAAACTCAGAGCCATCTCAAAGTGTCTACTAATTAATTAATGGTCAGGGCATATACCAGGAGTGATACTATCAGAGAACAAAAATACTAATGTGACTGTGGAAGCATCTTTTCATTAAACTCTCCTTCATTTCCAGATAAGGATACTTCTTGAGGTTAAAAAATGGCTTCTGACTTAATTTAATTTTTTAACCTTTTCATGACAAATATCATATAAGTCTTAACCAGCCACATTCTACGTTCCAAGATTATCTTGTTCCACTTGTTACTCAGTGATAGTGAACATTCCTTGGGGTTTCCATTTAGCAAACTCTTAGATTTGATTATAAATGTCTCTTTCTACTCCAGTGACCTAGTTTATATGACATGAAAGCCAAAAGCCTTATTAAACTGGGTTTTACATAAACTTCATCATTAATATGTATAACTCGAATGTTTTTAAAAGTCTTCTTTTAGAAAATATATATCATTTTTATCATGAAAACTATTTCAAAACCAGTAAAATATACTTTATTAAAAAGCAGAGACATTACTTTGTCAACAAAGGTCAGTCTAGTCAAAGCTATGGTTTCTCCAGTAGTCATGTATGGATGTGAGAGTTTGGCTATAAAGAAACTTGAGCATCAAAGAATTTCTGCTTTTGAACTGTGGTATTGGAGAAGTCTCTTGAGAGTCCGTTGGACTGCAAGGAGATCCAAACCAGTCCATCCTAAAGGAAATCAGTCTGGATTATTTATTGGAAGGACTGATGATGAAGCTGAAACTCCAATATTTGGCCACCTGATGTGAAGAACTGACTCATTTGAAAAGACCCCAATGCTGGGAAAGATTGAGGGTGGGAGGAGAAGGGGCTGACAGAGGACGGGATGGTTGGATGTCATCACTGACTCAATGGACATGAGTTTGGGTAAA